CGACGTCACCAATGCGGTACCATCCAGCTGGACTTCCAACTCCCCGAGCGTTTTGACCTCAACTACCAGACGTAAGTTGACCGTTGTTGTTATTAGTAGTATTATCAGAAGTTGTTGAAACGGTAAAGCGAGTTTTTTCTGCCACTGGTGGTTCATCTGATGCAACGAGACGTGAAATTGGTCTGGTGTACTTGACGGCAGAGAAACGTTTGGCAGTTGGAACAAGGTTCTGCGTCAGATGTGGCGGCGGTTTTGTGCGTATACTCAGTTTGAAATCAGGTCAGATATTAAGAAGGCATTTGTCACAAGATATGAGTTAGCGTATGCACATTAGGATTAGTAAATTATGGTTACGAGGTAATATCATATCGAGTGATCTAGGGGCACTTTCCTGAGGAGAATGAGCATGTGCGACGTCCGTTCTAGTATAACCAGTCATGTGCAATAGTTTCCTCGAGAATATAAAGCGCGGTGATTAGTTTAGTGGGTGAGGGGACGTTTGTGTAAAACACAGAAACGTCAGTTATCTAGTTGTCGCCTATTTTCACTCAGCTCACAATGTCGTGTTTTTTATCGACATGTTGCAGTGATGCCGTATCTGGAGCTGGTGAGTCCAGCGGTCCCCTACTTAAACGTCCTGTCATCATTCATCGGGCTATTCTCGGCTCTGTGGAACGTTTCATGGCCATATTGACAGAGAACTTTGCTGGTAAGCATATTGTTACTTGTGTTAAGAAGATGAGGTATAATTTACTTGAGGCATGGGTAGGTAGTCTTCGTGCAACCAGACCTAATCCATGGATGTGGTTCTGGATAGTAGGTTGTTGTGGATAAGTGGAAAATACGCACTGTTTTTTCACCCGCGCGATGGCATGTGCGTGCAGCGTACATTGCCAGCCGACAAGACATCTGTAATTTGTTAAAAATCATTCCGACTTTTAAATTGTTCGTTTAATGTGGATCATCATCATCATCATCATCATCATCACCACTACCACCACCAATAACGATTTGCCTCTTAAGGAAAATGGCCCTTCTGGATCAGTCCTCGTCAGGCCCTTGTGATTCCAGTCGTCTCCGCCCTAGACGAATACGGCCGTAAAGTACAGATGCAGCTTCACGATGCCGGCTTCATGGCCAGCATAGACACCGACCCTGGTCGTACACTGAACAAGAAGATTCGAAATGGACAGTTGGCTCAGTACAACTTTATTCTTGGTAGGTTTCTGCTCATAATGTCGAACAATGCATGTAGGCGGCAATTTGTTGGTTGTTTTCTTTCGAGTTTTTAATGCGTTTGGGGAGATTTTAAAGGCTCCTCTCTATTCCCCACCGTCATGTTAGTCCGATTGTCCGATGGGGACGGCGCGTTTTATTGAAGTCGAACACAGTACACCCCTGCCATGTTGCTTTTCACCTCGCACCACTCACGTGTCCAGTGTCTGCTCGTAACGAACGCTCGCCCCCCACCTCCCGTTCCTTTGCTGCGTTATGGGTTCAGGGGAGAGTCGTCTCAGATATGCCCTAGCCCATGTAGAGTGGCAATGTGCGTATTTGAAATGTGCGGTGCTTAATTAGTGCGTGAATCGTCTATGTGGTGTTTGGTTGTGAAATGGGCATTAGTGGTCTCCCGGTGTGTGTGTGTGTGTGTGCGTGTGTGTGTGTGTGTGGAAAGTCTTCGAAAGTCGTCACTCACACTCGTTGTTATTTTGTGGTGGTGGTTTGGTTCGTCGTCTGCAAGATGCACGCATTCTTTGAACCTTTTAGTTGTTGGTGAGAAGGAGCTGAATAACGGCACCGTGAACGTGCGCACCCGTGATAACAAAGTTCTCGGTGAGCATCCGGTGGAACACTTGATCGAACGATTCAAGGCGTTCACTGCATCGAAAACAATCTCCGCTGAAACGGAATTTTAAGGTTGTTTTCTTTTTTACAAACGAGACGTTAACCAACTTTGCTGATTGTATGTTACTTCGTCGGTGTTCTGTATTCTTTGTTGTCGATAGTCTCTGAGTGTTTGTATAGGTTAATGTATTTTCGCTGAACACTGGTTAGTAAAGGCACTGGGGAAGTTGCCTCAGGTTTGCAGTTTTCAGTGCGTCATGAGTGATTAATCGTCAATAACCTGCGCCTTGCTATTGACAGGATGTGCTGAATTTGTCAAGGTTAAAGTCGGGTTTGTGAGAGACCTGACAACGAGCCTTGCAAGAGGATCGTGGTTTTATAGTGGTGCGTGATGAAGTGGTGGTTGCGTCGCGTGTGATGGGCCGCAGCACGCGATTAGGCGCCGTGTTCGACGTGAGCGTGAAGTAAGGAAGTTGTTGACATGGCCCGTGTGAATAATGTGTGGTTACTACGAGTTGGTCTAACGGCATCATTCGGTCATGTCGCGTCGCGTCGCGTCTAGCTCACGTAACGAGCCCCAACAGCCAAAAGCATTGTAGGTGTTTAAGCACCAGCGTTGTTGTTTCGTGACAAAGTGGGTAACCTCTGATCGTCTTGCGGGCTTGTGTGAGAAAACACTGTTATTGTGGGGTAACTGTGTGTGGTGTTTTGAGGCGCCGTGGTGTGTACTCGTGTTTCTGAAAATCGACTGTGGCTAGGTGAAGAGATAAAGCAAACTATCTGTAAAGGTGGGAAAAGCTCCAGGAGGTGGACCACGGAGGACCACATTTAAACTCTTCGGATATCAACACCCAGTGCTCTGCTGAAGCACACGTGAAGCGTGTTTGCGAAGGCGTCAGTTTCGTGCGGTGGAGGTAAGTGTTGTCGTAAAGTCCTTGATAGACTGGGCATACTAGTTTTGAAATGCGAGTGTGCAGGTTTGGGGAAGTGGGCGAATGGTGTAGTTGGAGTTGTGTGCATAGAAGTGAGTGCTGTTGAAACCTGAGGTAGATGAAGGCGTTGACGAAGAAAGGGGTGTCCTGGTGAGAGGTAATAATGAATAGTTGTGTGGTAGTGTGAATGTGGTAGTTGTGTGGAAGAGGTTTGGGATGTGTGTCACTCGTGCTGATCCCCTCCTGTCAGAGCGGGTGTTAGTGTCTCCAGGCCTCAGGCATCCTGCTTGTGAGGAATGGCACATGGATTGATGGCATTGGTTGGGGATGAGCCTCAGTGAGCAG